CTATCTATCTATCTATCTATCTATCTATCTATCTATCTATCTATCTATCTATCTATCTATCTATCTATCTATCTATCATTAAGATCATTTGAAACGTCCAGTGCGACTTGCAACTAGAAGAGAGCAATTAGATGGCGATCGTAAGGAGTACTACAGTTTGTTCTTTCTCTAACTCGTAAGGGTAATAAAACAACTAGATAACCGGGACAGACAAAGCCACCGTGGAGAATTAAAGCTGAAATTAAAGCTTATTTCTCAACAGTTCTCTGTTGAAAAAGGCTTATTATTCATTCAAAATATTTCCTCAATTCTGATTGGGTAAAAGCACACGCATAATTCACCATAACCAGTTACTGATGACCAAATTTGGAAGAATTTTGTGTTTAACGAGGAAATGACGTTATAAATGCAGCTTTCTACAGGTTAATGCACCGTTAACCGAGAAGACCTGGGTTCGAAATTGAGTTGTTTTCGTTGTAAAAACTAAAATGGCGGACGCTTCACTCATTTCAAGAGTAAGAACTGCAGCTGGAACTAGGCGAATTAATGGCTAAAAACATAGTAAAAACAGCAAGAAGTTGTCGAGATCGAATGGTTACTGTAACCATAGTTAATTAAAGTGTAATGGTTGGGAAACCCTAGGTGCACAACATTCCATAGCATTTCTATCATTGTGAACTTACTGATCAATAGAAACATTGCATTAATTTATTCAGTCACAATTTTTGAACAAAAAACAAAGGATTGTGCACGGTCAGGGAGCTTCCAACATAACCTACAACACCTTTGTTTTCAACTTTGGTGTTTGCCGGCACCAGTCTCCTCAACTAATTATTCTGTAACAGGCGACCATATGTTTCAAATCACAATGCAACCCCTCTCGTTTCGGTAGCAGCATGCACTCGATTTCGATCTCAACGATCTTATGCAAAAACGAGGGACTGTAAACAGTGTATCAAGATCGTGCTATGTTTAAGGAGCTGTATGTGTACAATAAACTCTTTTGTTGGTTATGCTATAGTTAAGTCGAAGACCAGCGGTATATTTATCTTTTTGTATAGATTCACGATTCTACTCAATGTCAGTGCCAACTGTGTTGCTTATCAATGGAAATCGTTGACAATCTCGTGTTAATTCATGTTACTCCTGTGTTGGACTCTCGCTCCGAACTCATGATCCCGAGGGTCACCCGAAATAAGGCGAGCTGACTGTATTACGGACTCTGGCTATTTTAAAGGACGTAAACTTGCGGGTTTCGAGGGTCTCCGCAATAACAGGAGTAGACAACCTATAGCCATGGTTCATTAAAAATTCGAACACCTGACTTGTTTCCATTTCTATCCTGCGCAGCTAACGTTCGCGTGCAGGGGCGTAGCTAGGGGGCGGGGGGTCCCCGGGGTGCCCGTGACACCCCCTTGGTAGGCCTTCTTTTGAGCAAACAACCTACAATATTCAGGTGGCGAAAACGCCATGACAATATCTTGGCCGTAAAAGCCATTGTTGAAAAGCCCACTTTTTCAAAATTTGTTTTTTTGTAAAGTATTTCCGTCAACGGCTCTTGTCTTTAGTGAATATGGGCCTTCATGCCGCGATAATACGACTGAGCCCACTGATACACGGGGGAGAGCAGCGGTATAAACCATATATAGTCTGGTGAGTAGCCTCTGTGACGCCCCCCCCCCCCCCC